GGATAGATGCTGCACACTTGATTGAATTTGTCCCATTTGCTTTGTCTACTGACTTTAATTCACTTAAGTTTTCTCATGTAATATTTCTGTTAAACAGATATGGCACATTATTTTCTTTTTTCTTTTCTTCTTACTTTTGTAAGGGTTATAGCTGTCTCTGCAATATGAGTGTGGGGTCAGCACCCCAACACAATAACGGAAACTGTACAGAAAGGTATGTTTATATTGTGATAGTTGTCCTTTCTCTGGTTGTATTTGATTATTGTGGGCAACGTTGCAATTCAGTATTGTACCTTTTTGTATTGCACCATTTTAACAGGATATTGATTTTATTTATTTTTATTTATTTAATCTGATGGATTTGCTAAACAGACACCTTTTGGTTATTTTATCCATAAACAAGGTCTCAATTGAACTTCCTGACAATTTACTAGCCTGTACCACAATATACAGGTGCATCGCCCAAAAACATTAATATTGTGGGAACGTTCCTTGTGAGCACCAGAACCAGACTGAGAGATTAAAGGCTCAGGAAACCTTTGTCGGTGTTTTGAGTTAATTAGCTGATTACAGCTGTTCTCAGGTTGACATTTCTGTATTATAAATTCTTTGTTCTAAAATTCTAATAAATTTGAAGTTTTAAAATCCATGAACTTTAAGCCATAATCAATTAATTAAAACAAAAAAGACTTGAAATATTCTACTTTGTGTAATGAATCTAGAATATATAAAAGTTTAACTTTTTGAATGAAATGACGGAAGAAAATGAACTTTTCCACCTTTTTTATTCAGTTTTTTTAAGATGCACTTGTATATCGATATTGTGATATAAAATGATACCACAACAAATTAGTTTATCCACATCACCCACTCCTACTTGGAGAGGTCACCACAGAGACAAACCCATCATTGTACTATCCAATTTGAAAAAGTTAAAGGAAAAGATAACCTCAAAAAAATACACTGCATACATACCTCAACTTCTGCAGCAAAACTATAAATGCACAAAATCACAGGTGCAGTGGGCACAGATGCTAGTGGAACCAAGGAATGTGGCGCTTGTAAATTTCATCTAATATACCTGTACACAACATACCCACATAAAATAAGCCTTTTTCTGTTTTTGACTCTTTGTAAACTTTGACATTACCTGCAGACCATTACTATACAGCTGTGCGGTTATGGTTTGTGGGTCTCTTTAACAGAAAACCATTGGTAATCATAGTTAAAAATATCTGTTTTCAACTTAACTATGGAATACAACTTTACAGCCACATCAATTCTAGAGCAAACTCATTTGTTGCTGCTCGTCATATTGATTAAAATGCAATTGATCCAGGCTCTTTCTTGCATTTCACAAAGCAACTGTTTGAAAAGACCACAAAGATATCTATAGAAAGCTAAGATGTGGCTTTTGATTGATGTTTGTGTATCAGTTGTCCATTAATGGAATTTCAAGCTGGGAATAGATCTGAGCTCATTACAGCTATCTGAATCTTGGCATCAGATGCTAGTCTGATCAGTCTACAGTGGCTGCTACATGAGCAAAAACATTTTTCTTTGTAAACAAAGGTCCTTGGAATTTTAGTTATATGGCTTATTAAGTTTTTATGTGCTTGTTAGTTATACTACTTAATGTAAAAAGAAACACTAGCCTATATTACACTAAATGTTCAAAGGGTTAAGTGATCTACAATTGTATCCATCTGTTTATGCATTTTAGTGGCCTGTAACTGTTGATATTCCAGTGAGCGGAGAGTATTTGTTTTGATAAAAGCAGCCTTGGTCAGAAAGTAACATCACACCTTGTGAAGTGAGAGTTATTGGTATTGATCAGCAACCCCCTTCAGGTATATTACAGTCAGTTTGTGCTCTGGTGCAGTGAATATCAAACGCATTGCCCTTTGAAAAAAATTTAATGGAATCTGTGACTTCATTGATTTAAGGTATTATATGTCTGATCTTAAATATTTACTTTTACTTTACGTTTGAATCCCAGTAAAACTGTGCATACAATGATGCATTTCATCTCATAACTTAAGTCTTCAAACAAAACATAATCTAACCAAGCTATACTGACAAGTACTATAACAAGTTGTTTTTTATGCTATTAGTTATACATTTTCACTGTTTCGCTGTTTTAAGTAAGGGATTTATTCTGTAAGTTCATTATTGAGTCCAAAATCCATATTTAATTTACGGTAACAACAGAATTTGAGCAACACTGAATAGTCACATTTTCATATTTAGTGTGCAGTTTTTCTTACAAAGACTTAAAGGGAAAATTATTTATCAAAATCGATCAACTAATGAATTATGGGCTTGTTTACATACATTTATATATGGAATGGAGAAGCAACATCCCTGTCACAAAAGTGGCACAGGGCAAAGAACCAAATGTAGTACAACAGTTTCTCTTTGAAATCCCTTGTTTCCCACCCCCCAGCCCATTTCCCCCTTACATGATGAACCAAGGCAGTGCATCAGTGCAACAGACGCAAACATTATATTTGCATAAGTTTCTATATGAAGGATTCACAATATTAGATTATTGCCAGCATATCCATATTTGGTAACAATTACATGCAAAAAAAATTTTTTGACCCAGCTCTTAGGCCACGACAAAAAAAGGAAATCCACATTAATGATATACATAAACTTGTGTGAAATGCAACTAAACCAAACAGTAGAAAACATGTGGTGCCGGGAGGGAGGGAGGGAGAGAGGGTGAGAGCGAGAGAGGCAATGGGGCCAACTCCTAAATGCATTCTAGATGGACTAAGCACGTACACCAAGTTGCACTAATACATTCTCTGTCTACCAGGAGCTATATGGAGACATAAAACACAAACCACAGCCCACGGCAAGACAAATGTACAGGCCACAGCAGAGCCAGAGGGACATGCCCAGTGTTGCCATTACATACAACAATGTTGTACCACCAGAGTGCCAATATATTTCCATAACATTTCTCAATTATCAATATCAGTATTGGTAGGTGTAGGTTGGGCTATAGAAATCCATTTCCCCACGGGGTTAAATTTGTTAGTTTATCTAATCAGACAGAAACTCAAACAGAAAACTTTACTTTATTTGGAAATAAGAAACACAAGTGGGCTTTTTGGTCCTGTGGTCTAAATGGGGGCATCTCCTGTGAACCATTGCTAATGAGCTCCTCAACATAAGTAATGCCCAACATTAAAAGTGTCTCACAAAAATGTCAAAACAGGCGTTGGCTCCAACATGCAAAATTGGCCGCCCATAGCTTGGTGGTTTGTTTTGCAAAGTGGCAAGTGGGGGTCCACCCGATGAGGAGTGTGGGTAATTAGCCACTGGGGCAGCAGCTGAAAGTCACGGTCTCCCTCAAAGCTGTCGTCTGTTGCATGCTGATAACATTGACATGTCCTCCTCTCGCGCCACATTCTGCTGCATGCCAGATGATGCGAGGGGAGCAGAGAGGAATAGAAACTTACAGAAAAGAAAGGATGCTGAGGAAGACAGTGACAGATGAAGAGAAGGGCTGACCTTCACTCATTAGTGAAGTGACCTTCTATAATCGATGAGTGGTGCAATTGAAGGCACTGAGACCCAGCTGACCACACTCTGGCTTCTGATAGAGACAGCTTGAAGAGGATGGCTCAGAGGGTCGTTATGACAAATTTTGGCTGTATTTTTTTTCTCCACTATCATCGCTGAGACATTTTTTGAATGTCTCAACTGCAACTTTGCTATTGTGTTGTATGAATAATGGAATAAGGCAGATGTGAGTGATATTGGATAAAGTACTAATACAAATTGTGAATTGGATATGAATTGTGAAAGTAAAACATTATCTTTATTTTCATGACAATGAATATTGAATGAATGAATATTCATCTCTTCAGGATCCTCATTATGTTCATTTCTCTACACTGGACTCTCCAACAAACTAACCAGAAGGCAGTAGTGTCTGACCATGACACACTCTTGATATTACTACAGCAGTTGGGCAAAGTAATGAAAATACATGAAAATACACTTGGTTTGTTTTATTCCTCTGGTATCGAGATGTTGATCAGCTTGTTGGGTAACACCGGACCTGGTTAGACATCACCAGGGGTCTAAACAGAGTTTAATAAAATGGTTCTCACTGAATCTGTAGAGTATAAAAACTCTATTCTGTGTTTGGGTAATATATCCGTCTCAATTCAGAGTTTCAGTGTAGTGTTATTAAATGCCTGAAATTCAACATTCTTAAAAGCTACCGCAAATATGAACAACTCTTAACATGGACAGCACAAACTACTATGATTGTGACAATAAATGCTGGCTAACATTAGCTTGAACTTGTTACGATAATAGCTGACAACAAGCCCGTCAAGCTCACTTAATAAAGTAAAGTAAAGTGGCCTATGGGCAAGGCAATTATGACGCTGTTTTTTTTTTTTTTTGGTATGAAGCAAAGCTTGAATACCAACTCAACTACCGAACAGCATGTTAGTCCATCAGAAGATGCTGATTGTCAAGGTTAGAGACAGTGGGTCATATATTTATTAATATATATATATTAAAGCTTGAATATAGATTGAAGCTGTATAGAAGCATCACTTTGGCATCTCACACAAGTTTTAGGTAACTCATTAGCTGTAACATTTGCTGAAGAGGTCTATAAGGGTCCTCTTATAGACATCACATAAACTTCACCCAGTGTCAGATGCGCAACTGGGACCTGACTCTGACAGGGTCCAGGGTGCAAAATTAGCACCAGCCAATTGCTGGTAAAATGGCTGATTTGAATGGACCTGCTTCTGCTACTCACGTGGTGCTTCATTAGGGGGCATGCTTCAGCTGATGTGCTTGTCAGATGGTATGAATATCAGTATGTCCCACTATTCTTGGTCTAGGTAGGCTTTCTTTTTAAAGTCTGTTGAGACAACTCTGTGATAAAGGTTCTAAATGCATTACCTGAATGAATTTGAATGACAATTAAGTGGTTTGACTGCTTTTGTCCTTTGGTTCAGAATGACACTTTGGAGCTCTGCTACGACAGATGAACATATCACAGTATCAACCGGGAGCTTGCGAGCTGAAGGGGAGGAATATTTTCACAGGCAACCACAGTAGAGGAGGTCGATCAGACAGGTTAGGCAATATTATATGCAGCTGGCCGGAGGGACCTGGACTCAGATGTTGAGTGATCCTGTGTGTGGCAGTATTAAGTGGGTTTTGGATTCACTTTTAAATTGCCCTGGAGGATGCCTTCAAGGGATGTTTCATATGATGCTACCTGGGGCGCAGAACATGCCAGGACTGCCACTAACCAAAGCACTCTCCCATCGAAAACCTTACCTGCAGCTGCAGACACAGCTCCGATCTGTGTAATGAGCAACTGATCGATCTATTCAGCCTCTCTCGTGTTGGGTTTCTGCATCATTGGGCTGCTCTGTGTTATGTGGAATATCAACCAAGTATGTCAACAGGAAGAACTTTAATGAGGTCGGAAAAGCCGGACTGAATCGAGGCATTACAACAATTCCAGTGACCTATTAGAGTTTTGAATTCTGGTGGTATTTTGTTTGTCTCTAGAGGTGGCAGAGTGTAGTTGGAGATGTAATTTGACACCAGGGATCTGAATCTATTGACCTCACCCTGTCAAGACATTGATATTTTAACTATGGAAAGAAGGGCTGGCGGTGAAAGTATGCTGTTTTTTCACTTAATAAAGTCTTAAGCTGATGGTAATTGTTCAAACCCACACAGTCAACTTTTCTTGTTCTTTCTCAAGCCTCACAAAAGTATTTTGTATGCCAAAGGGGAAGAAAGAAAGGGAGTGTAAAGAAAAAAGAAGATGAGGACAAACGAGAGAGAATCTGAGAGAATTAAAAGGAGTAAAAGATAAAGATTACAAATGCATTGTTTAGATAATGTTAGGAAAACAGACAAAGGGAGAGAGGCAGGCAGGCATGTCTGGTAACCAGGTAGACCTAAGGGGCAGCTGGGAGTTTTTAGATCAGGACAGTTCTGACCGGAGCAGAGCAGCATGGGAAACCAGCTGTTGTTCACCACATGCCGCCTTCCACAAAGGACCCAAAGACTGCAATGCACTGTGTGTCTCTCTTTGCATCTCTGTGCCCTAACAAATGTAAGCTAATAATCCAATTATAGCACTAATTTGAGGATGGAGTCTTGTTAAAGCGAGGAGACTCTCAACTTTGCATGATAAATATGAAATGACAGAGTGCGAAATTTACTTATACCAGAATGGGAGATAAGAGAGACCACCAGCTTCTTATACAACTGGTTTGCAATTCCCTCAGAATCTCATATTCATGTTTAGCAGGCTGCAGATTCTCAACTAGAGGTTCAGCTGTTCATTCATTTTCAGACAAGTTGGATGCAAGCCAGCCCGTGCCACCTGTGGTAAAGGGATATCATTAGAAGTTTACACATGCAGATGTAGACATGTTAATGTCACCACCTGCAGGCAAAGTAATAGCTGCTGTAAAAAACAACAACACTTGGGCTACAGGCAAGCAATACAGGTTTTTCAATTTTTTTGTGTGTTTTGCTTTAAAATAACTAAAAGGAGAATATTTGCTGATTAATTTTCTGTCAATCGACTGATCAATTTATAGCTCGAATTTCACGGGAAAGTTGTGGAGGAATTAGGTTTTGATGGTGTTTGATGATCTGGCAAGTATTTCGTTTGAAGCATACCATTACGTTTTACACTTTTTTTTGTTATCATTTGAATTAAACATTAAGAAAAGCATCGTGTCAAACCTTAAATTGATATTTAATACTAGAACTACATAATATACAGAAAGCATTTCCCTTATTGAGTGTTATCAGTCAAAATAGTATAGCTGCATAAGAACACTACATTTAATAAGAGCATGTAACAGTAGCTACAATCAGTTATAATACAGTAACCCATTATCCAAATTGCCTACAGTATTAATACCCTTTCAGAAGCTCCACTCATTGCCTCATATGCATCCCTTAACCACGAGAACATGCTTAACTTTCAGAGTAAATCCTTCCGTGTCCATTGTGATGCCAATGCCCGGAAGATTCCAACCTGTCTCAGAAATTGTCCCAATTTGAGGCAAGTCAGGTATATAGTCATTAAACCATGTAGCCACCATCTGGTCCTGGGCTACTGGGTTTACAACCCCATCTTCCAAACACCAACACCTCACCTAACTTACTGCTGTCAGCTCAATTCATTCCTTGTTTCCTTTTAAATCACCTCCTCTACATTATAATTTATGGAAGGAAATTGGTCTTACCCACTGGACATAGTGACTGGTAATCACAAATTCATTTGCCAATTTTAGACATTGTGGTTTTTGGAAGATCTTGCTGGTGTTACGCTCCACTCTGGGTTGACATAATTCCTCTGTTGCACTGTGTCACAAATTTTTCCTCCGCATGCTCTCGCAGATATCTTGATGCAAAGATGTCAGCATGGATACAGTTAAATTATGAAAGCGGTCAAGTGTAGAACTCACTTTACATGCAATTCTATAAGGAAAGCTGGAAGACAAAAAGACATTGAGTTTTTCAGCACAAGCTCAGACCTTTTAAGCTCTAAGGGCAGAAAACATTTGCATTCCTTATACAGAGATTTATGTACATATGGTTAAATCAGGCAAAAGCAGAACAAACTGCAAACAATTGTGATAGATACATTTCTTTGATTCTCATTGTATAATTGTTTTTACTTTTCTTAATCTCAGAATCTCTTGGTGTCATGTTAACTTCTTAAATGCCTCAATGGTCAAATTTATGAATGTAATAAAAGTAATGATAGTAAATCACAACAGCTTGCATAATGACCAAGCTAAATTCACTTCACTCAATTTACGCCCTTAGGAAAATACACATCAAATGTTCCTAATATTACCAATGATAGTACAGTATTCATTTTGCACTGCTGGGATGCCACTTGTTTAGTCCTTAGCATGCCTTGTGTGTAGGAATGGCAGAGCCAGATGGCGTTCGTTGGAAGAGCGCAGTGTCTGAGAATGAACAAAAGCCTGTATTATAGAGTTCAGGTAAATGGCTGTATTTATGGAGGCTTATTAATGGTCATTTTTTTAAAAGCAGATTATCCAATATTTACTACTTTTCTCTGTTTGAAATAATTGTAAACTGGGTATTGCTGGATTTTTGACTGTTGGTGGGAAACAACAAAACCATTGGGGTGTGTCACCTTTGACTTTATTCGACTATTTTTTGTCATTTTATAAACAAAGATTGATTAATCAAGATTTTTATGTCTGGCAAACCATGGTAGAAGTACAGTAGTCTGCATTTGGCTTAAGGGTCAGCTAACACCAGGGTTTGGGAGTAGGTTAATGGATTTCATGTAACGGCGTTACGTAATCAGGATACAAAAAAAAAGGACAGAAAAAATAGATGTAATCAGGTAACAGGTATGTTTTGTAAAAACAGGGATTATTTTAAGCAGAAATTTTCATGAAACAGAAAACGCAGTGCTAGTGTAATTGCTGACGTAATCTGTACTCTGCACATGCGTTGGTGTCTGTAGCTACCTGTCGGAAGCTCCGTCTTAAACCTGACCCTTATCCAGTTTTAATCCACACTTTTTCGTTACATTTTTTATATCCTTTTTATTTAACTTAAGTTTTATGTGGGTTAAGGATTTTAGTCATCCGACATGAATTTTAAGCTAGATGACCTTCCAAGGGTTTCCTCCTGCTTGACTCCGAAGCATCAGTCAACCTGGGCTGAAGTGGTGGTCCGTGGCTTTAAGAGAGGCTCGGACGGGGCTGCCTCTCCTCCGCACATCGGCCTCTCAAACCGCTATGCAGCCCTGTCTGACGACACTCGGGTCCACACCTTCACTGAAGTCTCTTCGTTCTGTCCAGTTAAATATGGTGTGCCTCAGGGGTCGGTCTTAGGACCCATTTTGTTTTCCTTGTATTGGACATATTATCCATAAACAGGGGTTATTTCTTTTCATATTTATGCTGATGACACACAAATGTACTTGCCCGTCAGATCCACAGACCCTGGAATGCTGAGTTCACTTACCGACTGCCTTTGTGAAGTTAAAAAATGGATGTCAAATAATTTCCTTCAGCTGAACTCGGACAAAACAGAAATCCTTGTCATCGGGTCCCAGCAGATGGCAGTATTTGTTTTGCCATCTGCTGGTTCCCTAGTAAATCACATTAAGCCTGTGGCAAAGAACCTTGGTGTCTGGTTTGATAGTAATTTAAATTTCGAGCAGCACACCACAAAGCTTGTTCAATCATGTTTTTATCAACTTAGAAATATAGCAAAAATTCGATCTATGTCAACTTTTAAGGACACCGAGACCATTTTACACGCCTTCATCTCATCACGCCTGGATTATTGCAACAGCCTTTTCACCTGTTTGACTCAAAAATCTGCTGATCGACTCCAGACTTTCCAGAACTCAGCTGCCAGGCTTTTAACCAGAACAAAGAAATACGACCACATTACTCCTATTTTAGTTTCATCGCACTGGCTCCCAGTATAGTATAGACAATTTTATTGATCACTTTTAAAGCTCTCATGGCCTCTCGCCTTGTTATATTTCTGACCTTTTAGTCCCATACGCACCAGTACGTACCCTGAGATCCTCGGGCAGAGGTCTGCTGTCTGTTCCAGAGTCTCGACTGAAAACTAAAGGGGACAGAGCGTTTGCTGTCAGGGCCCTGAGGCTCTGGAACAGCCTGCCCGAGGAAATCAGGTCGGCTGAGTCAGTGAACTCTTTTCTAGTCCCTTCTTAAAACATACTTTTATAGGAGAGCCTTTCCCGATCTTATTTGACTTTATTTTATTCTATTTGACTTATTTTATATTCATCTTAAACGAGTATTTTAGTATTTTCAATGTTTTTTTGCTTTTATCTTGTATTGTTTTTGTATTATTGTCTTTACACTTGTTAAAGCACTTTTTAACTTGTTTTTGAAATGTGCTCTACAAATAAAGTATTATTATTATTTGCCTCCCTATATGTTTTTTTTTATATACAGTCTATGTTATATGTACGTGTTTCTGTAAAAACACAAAGCTAGGGAGGGACGTGTCGCAGTCATTGATTGGAGTTTAAAGTCTCCAGAAGCGCAGAATATGTGTTTATCACCCCTACTCCATCACATAGACTCTGTGCTCTATGCAGACTCGTTCAGCTCTCAGTGAGTGAACACTGAGTGAAGCAGGACCGGGACCGAGCACAGCCTCCGAGACGGACAGATAGCAATTTGACCACTGGGAATACAGTAGAGGTTGTTTTTTTTTCCGGGTTTGGCTCATGGCAAGCCAGGGCAGAGTAAGCTTATAGAACCGCTAGTAGCACAGCTAACCAACCAACCTAACTAGCCACAGATACAGGCAGATTGGCTACAGTTAGCGGTTTAGCAAAAAATAAAGCTTTCCATCAAGAAGCTCTGTGTAAATCATCTCCGTACTGGATCCCCTGTCTATGAGGCTATGTTCAGTCCTGTTTGTGCTCTGTTCACTGGGAAGCTGCTGAGCAAGGTTTCGTTGGCTGCTCGCCCTGCTCCGGTTCCCAATTGGGCGCTGCTCCCCTCCATCATTCCCTGTTGGCCCCCCCGGCCCTTTCCTGAAAAGTTCCAGTTCTTGAGTAAAGGTGTAAACATCTTCATACAATCTATGGTAAACACTTCCCCTGTGCTCTGAGCTCGGTACGGTCGGCAGTACGGGCAGAGTAAGCTAATTTGACCAGTGGCAT